CTTTTTCTACTTCAGAGTTATGAACTCTGATGAACAATGTGATTGAAGAAACAGCTTGTAGCTCAGACAACTTCAATTGCTTGATATTCATTCTATCTACAGACTGCTCCCCAAACCCCCATTTCTTCTTTGACTTGATGCACTTATCTGCATAGTGATCAGTCTCACCACAATTGTAGCAAGCATTCTTATCTGATTTTCCACTCCACTTTGGGTTTGTAAACTGGAAATTGAAGATTTTCTGGTGTTGGTTTTCTCTCTGTCATGATGAGATCCAGATCTTGTTTCTATAACTCTGACCTTGTGGTCCATGGGCTTGATTTGAATAGAATGGTGTTCCACCACAGTTGGTATTTGTCTCTGAGATGGATTGTGACTTTGAGTTGGGAGTGGAACTCTTGACACTAAATTGTAATTGCATTGCAACTGTCTGAATCTCATTCAGTTTCTCTGGAAGATTCTTCTGTTCATCCAGCTTGTTGCACATAGATTTGTCATATTGCCATAGAAAAAGATGTTTGATGAACTTATTCACACTCTGTGTCTCTTCATTCACTTGTTGCAAATGTTGTTGAAATCATTGCAATCAGTCAAAGTCTGATTCATCATCTCTTTTACAAAGATGAAAAAGGTTTCTCCAGGCTAATTAGGTTCAGTTTTCAGGATCATCTAGTCATAAAAGTAGAAATTGTTTGAGTTCAGTTCAGATGTTCAGAGTAGAGTTCTGAACTGAGTGTGATTTCCAAAGATCTTTCTCATTATAGTCCAACTCTGTGACTGCATACTTCAGAGTTTCATTGTCATTCAGATCACTAGCATCTCAGATGAATTCTATTTGAAAGATAAACTGCTGATAGACTGTATAGTTCTTAGTCTGATAGTTGATCTTGTGTTGTGGAGACTTGATAACTGAACTCTTCTTTGGAGAATTTGAGTTAGAGATCAGAACATCAAGTGATTCTGTTCACTCATGCTTTCTATTCAGAGTTTGTAAACTCTGCTGTAGTTCTTGAATTCTTTTCATGAGATGTATTCACTCTCTTAAGTTCTCAAGAGATTCTGTGTTCTCTGAAGATGATTTCTCAGTCTGAGTTATGCTTTCATTCAGATTTATTGTTGCACTTGGTGTCTTGACTAACTCAGATACTGACAAAAGAGTTGAGGATTCAGTTTGGTCTCAGTTGTTCTGTCTTATGAAAATCATTGTCAGACCATCTGCTTATTTGAGTGGCAAACTGTGAGGATTGGGTGGTTGCAGATAACATGACAATGACTTACAGTCTTCATAGATGAGATTAGGTTAAGTGAGAAGTGATTATGAAGGGATCTAAGCATGAGAGAGAGAGAGGTAACTTATGTTGCTACAACAGTATCTAGAATCTCTAGATATGTTGCCACTGATCTTTGTAAAGAAGCATCTGTGGCAGATTTTGTGTGTTCAGCTTTGCTAGTGTGATCATGTGATCAGTTACAGAGTTTATGAATCTCAGATGTCATGGAGCATGATCATCTAAGCATCAAGAAGGTTTTACAAATCTCTTTTAGATGATGGGATGAATGTAAGAAGATCACAGTGTGGAGTCTTACATAAATATAGATTCTTTGTCACAAATGCAATCAATTTTCAATGTTTCAAAGCAGTAGTGAATCTGATTGTATTGTGATGATCAAATAAAGTGTTTGAGTAGTTAAAACTAATGATTTAGTCTTTAATGTGAGATTTCCCATCCACTACAGTGAATTGCCACACAAAAATGAAGAAAATAACTAAGTGAAACAAGAGCTTTTCAATGAATATATTTTTTAGTAAATTTGACTTAGAATTGAGAGTCTTTCATCTCAAGTGCTGTATGTGTATTCACTTTCTTAAGTTTTCAAGAAATTCTGTATTTTCTGAAGATGATTTCTTAGTCTGAATTGTGCTTTTATTAAAATTTACTGTCACATTTGATGTTCCAGCTTATTCTGATACTGAAAAAAGAGTTGAGAATTTTATTTGATCTTAGATATTCTGTTTTATGAAAATCATTGTCAGATTATCTACTTATGTGAGTGACAAACTGTGAGATTTAAGATTGCTGATAGTATGACAATGATTCATCAGTCTTTAAAAGTCAGATTAAATTCAGTGAAAAGTGATTATGAAGAGATCTAAGTATGAGAGAGAGAAAGATAACTTTCATTACTATAATAGTATTTAGAGTCTCTAGATATGTTGTTGTGAGAATCAGATGATTGCAGATAATGTGACAATGACTTACAGTCTTTGTAAATGAGATTAGATTGGGTGAGAGATGGTTACAAAGACATTCAAGCATGAGAGAGAGAGAGATAACTTATATTGCTACAACAGTATTTAGAGTCTCTAGATATGTTGCCACTGATCTTTATAAAGAAGCATCTGTAATAGATTTTGTGTGTTCAACTTTACTAGTGAGATCATGTAATCAGTTATGAAGTTTACAAACTTCAGATGACATGAAGCATGATCATCTAAGCATCAAGAAGATTTTACAAATCTCTTTTAGATGATGAAATGAATGTAAGAAGATCACAACACAGAGTCTTACAGTTGTCACTGATCTTTATAAAAAAGTGTCTGTGGCAGATTTTGTGTGTTCAGCTATGTTAGTAAGATTATATAATCAGTCATAAAGTTTATGAATCTTAAACAACATAAAGCATAATTATCTAAGCATTAAGAAGATTTTATGAACTTCTTTTAAATGATGAAATGAATGTAAGATGACTGCAGCACAGAGTCTTACACTATATTTTCAGTAAATTTAATTTAGAATTGATGGTGTTTCATATTAAGTGCTGTGTTCTTCAATTTTAGTCTTTAAGAGATCTATATAAAGATTTTGATAGTCAGTCTAACATGTTTTGGAAGACATTTTATAATTTGTTTTATAGATTTTGTAAAGTGTAAATGGTAGAAAATTGTTAAATTGAAATGTGTAAAATTAAGATTTCACACAAATCTTTGTGAAGTAGCTGTAGTTATCAGAATTTTTCAGACTTTAGCCAAACATCTCACCAGAGAAGTTCTATACCAAACACTATGTTTTAAATCATGTAAACAGTTTCTGAAGATCTGTCAGACTCTTACAATTTGTTAAGACAAGTAGACATATAACATATTACATGTTTTTATTTCTTTTGTATGGAATAATCTCAAGAAATCTCAATAAATGTATTTTCAAAGTTGATTTTTGATTTGCGATTTGAGTCATTTCAATCCATATTGTTGAAGTTTTCGGTCCAAGATGTCCTGTTTTGGGCAACTTGGAGCCCTAGCCGCACGTCCATTTTCCTTATAGAAAGAATTACAGCACATGTACAAGGCAATGATTTGGTCATGGCATTTATCCTCCCGGTAGGAATTTTTGCTTAAACAGTCTACATACAGTTGTCAGGTCACTAACATTTCAGATGAAGGCTCAACTGGAGTAGGAACCTTGGATTGAACACTATTTCAGCATCATTATCAATAATAATTTTTATGTGGAAATGAATAGGGATGCTTTTGTATTATGAATGTACATACAGCAAACGCATGGCATGGCAGGCTGAGTGGTGGAGGAGTACGTGCGGGCTGTTGTGAAAGTTAGCTTGCAACAGCACCATATGAGGCTCAAGTTCAAGGCCATCGTCAGTCTTACCATTGTGAGAAACACAACGCAATATATTCAATATTTCTTATGTCAGAAGCTTCTAGCAACCTCCCGAACCATTTTCTTCAGGTATAAATGTGATCGCAAAAATAAACCAGCCTTCTTTTTATCGTATAATAGTTATTCCGGTGCGATGAGTGGTAGGTACCTTACCTAGGTAATCTACCTATATTTTGAACTTGCGGGGCGAACTGAATCGCATCCCAACTGTCTTCATAAGCTTCCTAGCTGATACTATATCCTTTCTTTATTCTCATTTATTGAATTTTTAAGAATGGATCGTACTACCCCGCCGCTTCCCCCTAGTGAACACCTTAATATTAAGGTGACGGATAACAATAATGAGGTTTTTTTTAAAATAAAGCGTACCACACAACTCAAGAAGTTGATGGACGCGTTCTGCGAGCGTCAAGGTAGACAGCTTGCTACGGTGCGATTTTTATTCGATGGCACACGAGTCCGACCAGAGGACTCGCCAGACACTGTAAGTCTATCTCACCTTTTGCCAGCTCCCTTTCTACCACGCGCGACTATCTAGTCCGGAATAAGTGTGGATCACATTGTATTTTTAAATCAAGCGCTAACTAGATATCTTGATAGCTTGATATGCAAGACGGAGACACCTTAGAGGTTCATCAGGAACAAATCGGCGGTTAACTTCATCTTATCGTCAGTGCCGTCTATGTTGAAATCTATATCCCCTCTATGCGCCGAAATTCTAACTTATACTTTTTCAGGTATTGAATTGAAAGTTTGAGAAATTATTACGCTGGATGTCGACTGCTTCGAGATGATTATAAAACGATTATAAAACCCCATGAAGTACTAGGTCAAAAGTGTTTAACATATCAATTAATACATATTAATATGTAGAGAATTGATAGAAGAATACTTTAAAGATAATGTATTAAATAATTATGGGTGCTTGCTTCTTTAAATCTCATTACATATGACTGAAAACCATCATCACCTAGACTCCTCTATTCTTCATGAAATTAAGTCGGAATTAAATTATTAGACACAGTGGATAGATCAAGCATCTATCTACATATTAATTATATTATCCAGTATACTAGTATACAATTTTGCAGAGTACTTGAAGGTTGAAAGGTGTCACTTGAAAAAATGGTGCCAACCCTTTTGACGAGGCACTTCTTTATTTGTGTTGATAAAAACAGGTTCAATACGAACCCAGAAAGACGCCTGTAGCTTAATACTCGCGTTTAACTCGCCATTCTGCTCTTGATCACTCATAGCCTGGGCCTCTCTTCACATTACATATGTGCTCCGTAGACACGCACTTGAAGGGGCTTGGCAATAACATTATGACTCCCAGACGGCTTGCTTCGCTTTGTGTTCTTCCTCTTGCTTCTGCCTGGTATGCTCACGATCATGCTCCCGTTTTTTCTTTGCGTTCTCTAGGATTGCACGATCATAGGCCTTCTGCTCTGCGGTTCGCTTTGCACGCAAGCCCAACGCGCTGGTAATTATCCGGCTTGCGACAGCAGTCTGCTTCTCAGGCCGCCGATGTGGGGAATCGCTCTTTTGGGGGTTCTCGGACGACAATTTATTAGGCGCGAGCGAGGGTACAATTAGGGGCGGCGTGCTGTGGCCCTTGGTGCCTGTCTGTCGGTGAGAAGAAGAATCGAGCATATTCTCTGTGTCTGAAGAGTCCGAAGATACCGACTCATCCTCCCACGAGTCCGCAACTGTTGGTTTTGGTTTCTGGGAATGAGACTTGCTGTGGGCTTGGGTGGGATCTACTACTGGGTTTGACTATCATCAGTCCTTGCGGCCATTTTGTCAGGTCGCGGATATATAGGTATACGGTGGTACAGACCGTCAGTCATATTCGGTATTTCTGGTGTAGCTCTAATAAAGGGCAAGGGTTGCGAAACCACAGGAGGGGTAAGGTGCCGAGGTGTATAAATTTGTCTTTTTATTACCCCGCACGATCCAGCGATTCTCCTAAGTAGAATTACCGATGACGAAGGTTGGGCACTATAATCATTGTATATGTATGTACGAAGTTTATCTAATTAGCAGTTTAGCTATGGATTGGTATATGTGCTCTCTGTACGGCGTACTTCGTATCCCTGCAGGGTACGGAGTAGATTAGACACTAGAAGGCCCAATAATTAAAACCACTACTCCGTACTCCGTAGTTACCTAGACTACCTACTCTGTGCGGAGAACTTAGTAGGTACACTGGCTTGCTAAAAGGCTTGGCAATATGACGGTATGTACCTAGGTAGATAGGTATAGATACTACCTGAAACTGCTGAACTACCTGGGGCTGAGTGTGGGAACCCCGATGGACCACTCTACATACCAGCAAAATTCAATACGTATTACTTTTCAATTCAGATGCTGCCCGTGCAATGTGAACACAACACAAACAGCCCTACACCTTTTCTCCAACTACAGCTAGTGCGCAATGCCTGGAGGTCTTTCGTGCGCTGCATTCAGAGCACATAGTTGTTGCCATAATTATGTATCAAGGCGCACTTTAAGTTCTATGAGATGCTCCAACACCACTTTCTCTACTTCACGAAGACGACAAGGCTATGAGGCAACACTGGAAAATCTCAAAATTGGCTCCCATACCAAAGTTCTGTTTCAAGGATTTACTGGTATGGATTATCTCATGTTACGAGTACCATTAGCTCAGAATTACAATATTCTATGCCTTAGCTAAATTTTTATCAATAGGTAAACAGGTAGAATACCTTTGGAAATTCATGTTCCTAGGGCAGTACTATCCCCTAGTCACTGCTAACACAATGAATAGGCGACAGTAAATGTTAAGGAATCATTGGAGTGGGGCACCAAAATTGTAGGGGGTGTGAAGCCTGGAGTTGAGGGTGAGCACCTAGGATTACCAATATTCCCATCAGTGCGAGCGGTACGTAAAGACAAGGGTCAACAATCGCGTGAATGCATTATATTTCTTACTATTACTGGTTTGGATCGAGCAGGCCAACGAGAATGTTAAGCCGGATGCGACCGCCATCTACGTACCTGGCAATCAAACGGCGGCAGCTATAGAAGAGGCTATAGAAGCTGAGATATCCCTTGTGGTTGCCGTGGCAGAACACGTCCCCATCCATGATATACTTCGCGTTAGCACACTCTTGACACTCCAAAATACATTTCTCTTTTCCTGACTGTATGTAACAGATACATGCCATACTTAAAACACAATCTAAAACCCGACTTGTGGGAGCGAACTGTCCCGGAATCATCTCTGCCATTGGCAAGTGCCGCATCGGTTTTCAACCTCTTTCATGCTTCTCCCCAGGACACGTGGGGATTATTGCGAAATCGGGAACCTTGAGTTATGAAGCTGTGGCGTCTACGACAAGGGCTGGCCTCGGCCAGAGCCTCTGCATTGGCATGGGCGGCGATATGCTAGCAGGAACTAATTTTGTGGACGCCCTTGGAGTGTTTGAACATGATGATGACACACATGGTATAATAATCATTGGAGAAGTTGGGGGCACTGCTGAGCTTGATGCAGCAGAATGGATCAAGAACTACCGCAGAAGAACTGCAAATCCCAAGTATAATTTTGATTACAATTCCTTGTTAAGGATGCTAATATAAGTGGACAGACCGATCATGGCGTTGGTTGGAGGGCTTGAGGCACCCGCCGGCAAGATCATGGGACACGCTGGTGCATGCGCAGGTCCAGGCGAACCGGCTGCCCAAACTAAACTCAAGGCCTTGCAGGATGCTGGTACCGTGATTGTAGATCACCCCGAGAAATTTGGGCGGGGAATGAAAGCTTTGTTAAACAACAATCCCCAACGGCCAGCTTTTGAGGTAATAATGCCCTTGCTTCACATAGGACCATTCATACTTACAAAGTAAGCACTTTCAGGCTGTTACTCGAATTTCAATTACCCAGCAACGGCGAAGTTACCGTATCTGGTCCCAAATACATTGTCATTGTCAGGAGTCTAGATACCGCCGAGGCCTCCATCTCTCACGAGCCCGTTCTCTGTATCTACTTAAAGAGAACAATATTCACGTATCAGACTCGCTAGGATCGGGCACATTCTTCCTTGGAGTTGCGATTGACCGAGAGACTTGTTCTCCATGTATAATTGCATCCCCTACCTCTGAACCGGCCACTTACATAGAATTTGCCAAGCGGTTCCCCTTTGATTATGGAAAAATGAAAATTTCCCTCGAAGACATCTCATGCATATCGAGACACTTAGGTCTTCACGAGACTGCCCAAAAGTCATTATTTGAAATACTGCAGGCTTTGGTGAATGTTTTCATGATCCAAAAAGTCTTTCTACTTGAAACCAGAGTCACTGTCACTACCTGTGGAAACTTGGAAGTCCAGGATGCATGTGTTAGTTTCGACCATGCTACCTATAAAAACACAAATAAACGAGAAAACCCCCATATATTCAGAAACAAAGATCTAGAAACTCCCGAGGAGGCAGAAGCAGAGAAATCTGGAATGGTTTATGTAACGTGGGTTTTCAGAATTCCATCTAAGTACTTTAGACTAACAAATTCTACCTCAAGGCTTAAGGGCGAGGGGAGTATCGGTACTCTAGGTGCGTTTTTATATGAGTAACTAAGCAGTCTTTGGACGGGACCAAACTTACCTTCCATTTTTTAGTTAATGGAGCCGGTTTGGCCATGAATACGGTCGATGCCCTTACCGTTCGCGGTGGTCACTGTGCAAATTTTCTGGACACTGGTGGTAAAGCTACAGCAAAAATGGTGAAGTCGGCATTTCAAATTCTGCTCTGTGATCCTCGAGTGAAAGCCATTTTCGTGAACATTTTTGGCCGGTTGACAAGATCAGAAATGATCGCAGAAGGCATCATCACAGCCTTCCGAGATTTAAGTGTTACACTGCCGGTAGTTGTTCGATTGCGTGGCACAAATGAGGGGCTTGGGCAGAAAATGGTAAGTACATACATGTACACACATGCTCTGACTCGACGAGACGCAGTGATAAAGGCTAGATAGACTAACTGGTAGCATTTGGTAATAGATTGCCGAAAGCAGGCTGCCACTATACATTTTCGACTCTTTTGAAGAAGCCGCCGCAAAGGTTATTAGTCTTGCACAGTCAAGAGAAAAATAAATGGTCAATGTCACGCAATACGGAGCGACTTTTCGATTATTCTAGGAGAGCAATAGATATGCTACGCGCAGAGTATTCTTTATAGATATATATATGGTATATCAAATATACATGAGTAAGCTCGCTCACTTGGTTTGCTACTCCGCTCTTTCAAGTAGCAAAGTACCTCTACCACAATTCTATAAATATAGAGCGTCATGTTAAGGAAGAGCTCACAGAGATTAACCGAGTTTGGCAACTGAGTCCCTTGGATGGTAGTATGTGCTTTACAGGCGAGGCGTGACCCTACTACAATACAGTAGTAAGTTAGAATATTCAGATAACCTATTTCTGATAATTGAGCATGTTAAAAAATTGTATCCTTTTATCACATACCTGTTAAAAAGTACTGTTAATAAAGTAGTACAAATAAAATACATATTAAAAAAAATGGGTGAGCTTTTATTGTGCTTGTTTTAGATGGTGAAGATCACTTAGTTAACTAATAAAAAGTGTGAACGTCTGCACAAAATCAACCAATCAGAAGGCATCCATCACATCCCCCTTAGACAAGTTCATGACACACACCATGTTGAAATGATGAAGAGAAAGAAGTGCTTAACCATGATTATAGAATAGGGTACAAGAGTACATACTCTGGTAGCCATCGATCACCCTTAGTTCTACTTCTCAAGAAAAAAGAAGATTTGCGAGGGACGTGGGACTCGAACCCACAATCTTAGCTTGAGCTTAGTCCTGAAGACTGGACGACCAATCAAATAGGAGAGCTACGCATTACCCTTCTGCCAGCCCCTCCAACCTTTGGTCTTGCAAGTCGACCACCGAACCATATAGAATTGCGTAGCGAGTAAGTTTCTATCCTATAGATAGAGTCCATTTACAATCCGTTTTCGGAGCCCTACTCAACTTCACAGTTGCCCCCTCCGAACCTCGTATGAAATAGCCTCGGCTCCTTCATCTTCCTCACCAATCAAAGTCGATTCCACCCACCCAAATCCGAATAGGGCCCAACTCGTTCCGGGTTTTTGAAATAGTTTAGGAACAACCAAGCGGGCGTCACAAATCACCAACCACGAGGAACGTGCGAGGAGAAGTGGGCTGGCTCCCTCGCGCCTGAGGAGACGCCATGGCGATCTTTTCGGGCACCAGACATTTTACCAGAGCTTCATCATTGTCTGTCCCCTATTTCCCTTACAGGCTGTTCGCCTCTTCTTTATTACATACCCACCAAACTTCTTTCCTTCATGTTAGTTACCAGCTAGGCATTACTTACAGCTACAAATTCCAATCCTCTTGTGAGTTGCATAGCAACAACACAATTTGAAAATTTCCACTGAACCTTTGTTTTGGTATTTAGACCGCTATGTACACCCCCAGTCAAAAAGAGGCTCCATTTTCCACCACTTCCTAGGTTTTTCAGTTGTCTCAGTGGTCTCTTTTTTTGTTGGAATGATGGCAGAGGGCGAGCAGCTTTATAGACAGCTTTCAGACACAAGTCTCCTTTCCAATGCGGAAACCCTCACAATATACAAATCTGAGGATGAGTTTTCCAGAAAGGTGAACAAATTTATTCATTCTCACGCCCTCACACAATCTTTGAGGGATGATCCACGTTTTGAAGAATCACGGCCACATTTGCAAATTCCAGCAGAAATGAAAGTGCACAGTCTTACCAGTGGTACCCTAGCTGGTTCAAATAAAATTGTCGTGCCGCCCTATGTGTGGAATGAAGCAGGCGGTAAAAGCCTTGTCTCGATATTCTACCTTGGCTCAGATGTAGCTGGCCATCCCGGCATAGTCCACGGAGGCTTGCTTGCGACGCTATTGGATGAGGGCCTTGCAAGATGTTGTTTCCCTGCTCTCCCCAACAAAATCGGTTTGACCGCTAGTTTGAATATTGATTACCGTCGCCCCGCGATGGCTGAGGCGTATTTTGTTCTGCGCGCGACAACTGTGAGAGTAGAAGGGAGGAAAGCTTGGGTCGAAGGACGGATCGAAACACTTCCAGAAGCAGGAGAGGAGCCAAGAGTCCTTGTTGAGGCAAAGGCTTTGTTTGTAGAGCCAAAGAATGCAGCAGTACGCACCCCCGTCTAAAAAAAGGTAGACGAATGTGTGATATTCTCTCTCCAAACATTAACTCCGAAGTATAGCTTCTACCTCGATTGCATCGCCAACCAAAGTCGACACGCCCTGCACAAAACTTAGGGTGATTGATCGCTAACATATTTTGTCCGTAGGAGGAAGCAGGTTTTTATTATGAAGGTTTTAATACCGAGCTGCTTTGAACAATAATTGTTGCTTTGTATTGCTTTCTGACTTGAAAAAAAGCCCCTTAGATTTTTCTATCATCAATTTGATGTGGGATATTTGCCGCAGTTGCTCAGACCTTCTATCAGCCATACCAGAATCCTGGATTTGCTCTCTACCATTTGAATACCAATTTTCCGACCTGTTATGAAACACCTACCATTACATTGTAATTTGAATGTTGGCTACAGTAACTATGTATTTTTACTACTACATAGTAAGAGCTTACTATATTGAATCCTGTTCACAGGTCCCCAGGTGCCCAGGTGAGTGGTCACCAGGCATCTTAACAGATAATTACTGGTTCCAAACATGGATGTTACCAGTGTACAGTTGATATGATGTGGGTTGAACTGTCCTCAGATGTTGTGAAGTGGCTCAACAGATCTTGATCTTGTATAATCAGATTAAGTTATCAGATATTACTAGAAGTATCAGAAGATCTTAAAAGAATTCAGAATGTAGTAATTATAATAAAATGATCACTTTTAAAAATGCTCAGTATGATGTTGTAAGATGATGAGTAACTGTACTTTTCTACTATCTAATTACTATTAATAAGAATCAATAAAAAGTCACATCAATAATGATGTAGATTATATTCATCTATTCTATTACATTATTTTAATGTTGTTGTCAGAAATATTTATTGCTCATTTACTACTAATAGATGTTAATAATAAATAATATTAATAATAATATAGACTATTTTTGTCTACTATACTGTCTATCACTTCTAGACTGACCACAGGGACAGGAATTTCCCAACTGGGATCCCATCCCTAATGCACTAATGGGAAATTGGGATGGGACTGGAACTTGATAGTTTAAACTGAGATGGGAGTGGGACTTGAGTTTCAAGTACTTAAATGGGAATGAGACTTAATTTAAAGAGATTATTTTATTAGAGATAGGAATCCCCAATTTCCCTAAACTTAAAATAAAACCTTATTTTATACTATTTTTAGTACCAAAATCATATACAAATGTATATATGCATTTTGACTTGATGTGCCAATTTTTCTATTTTGTCATATTTTGGTGTAAAAATACACTTTCAAAATAAAGTTTGAAAAAAATTAAAGTTGTTTTAGAGATAGAAAAATCTAAGAATGGGACATAACATAGAAAATTTGAAACTGAGAAGAGAATGGAACTTTTATTCATATTTTGAGATGGAATTGAAACTAATTTTCAAATTTTGGAAAGGGATTGAGATCAACTCAATTGGAATTAACATTCAGTCTTGTCCCATTGAGATTCCAAAGAGACCCCAACAGTCAGCCTAGATTAAGCTATTAAATTAGTCTGTCAATTTTTGAATTAGTCATACTAATTTCTATGTTTTATTCCTTTCCTACTTGCTGTAACTAATAGCTTAATTAATTTCACTATGTTGTTGTTGAATAACTGTATTTTGAAGGTGTAGTGGTAATTTTGTAAGAAGTGGTTGTTGGGTCATGGGTGAGATCAGATGTTCAGTGAGAAATTACATTATATAAACTTGCCTAGATATCAGATGACACAGAAGCACATAATGATCATGTGACTGAGCATCTATAATATTGTGTCTGGTCTTGCTTCTAACAAACAAGACATGGATACTTATAGATGAACATGCTATAATCAAGACTATGGGAAAAACATATGAAAAACCCCTAGCAAATCTCTGCCAGTCTGATAGACAAAGATAATGAAATCAGTACTGTGGTTGAGAAGAGAAGATGATGAATCTATGATTCTTTGATTTCTTCTTCAGAGATCTGATTATCTGATAAGTTATCTGACTTCTGCTCAACACATCTCTGTAGCTTTGGCAGCAGTGTAGATGGTGAATTTTCTTCTATTAAATAATCAATATTCATGAGCTTCAATTACTTAATGAATTTTTCAAATTTCTGTCTAGATAAGTTTTTTGTTAAGCCATCTGCAGACATATTATTGCTTTTCAATTCAGCTAATATTCAATTTCTTATTAGTAACTGCTTGCTGTAATCAGTGGTGATGAATATCAATGTGGTGAAGCTTAATAATTAGTTGTGGAGCTGCTGAAATCAGTAAATGAATTGTTTGCAAATTATTACATAAAATATCAAAATCTCTCTAATTTCAATGTAATATTCTTAAATAAGTGTTTCCACCACATGGTCTCTTTTGCTGTATAGAATAGTGCTAAAAGCTCAGCTTCTGTTGAAAACATTGTAATGATCTTTTGTCTGAAGAATTTTCAATCAATTAAGTCTCCAAAGAGCTTGAATACAGAGCTCTGAGAGAAGCATCTTGAGCTCAAATCATCTGCAAAAGAAGAATCACTGACAATTATTAAATGAATGTTTACAGCATCATTATTATCACTCTGAATATTCAACTCTCTCTTGGCATGGAATTCAAGAGCATAATACTTTGTTGAAAACACATATGAGATAACTCTCTCAATTGCTGTATGGTGTTCTGATTCTGGATTAATCAAAGTCTCACTTAATTTTGCAGTAGCAAACAAAATATCAGACCACATTATAATAGCAGCATAGAGAGCTGAATCAATCTTCTGTTGATAGACATGTATTCATTGCTTATCTTGCACTCTCATATAAGAAGCTATATTCATAGTTATTATTGATGTATATGACAGCTTCAACTCTGTAAGATTGAACTTATTAGTGATCTTCTCAATATAACTATTCTGACACAGCCAAAGCTTCTGAGCATCTCTATTGTGTAAGACATGAATATCTAGAAACCACTCTAGCTCTTCAATCTCTTAAAGCTTATAACACATTCATAGATTCTTCAATAACTGTTTAAATGTTTCAACATCCTTTCTGTGATATAAAAATACTATGTCATTTATGTAAAAGAAGATAATAATATTCTTATCAATAAATAGACATGATTCTTCATAAATCTGACAGAATTTTAGTTTCTGAAGTGTTGAAGTGAGATCTTTGTACCAAAGTCATGAAGATTTAAGATGACTGTATAAGACTTGTAGAACTCTTCAAACATCTCTTTTCTTACCATAACTCTCTGCAGATTTGCAATAAACAGATTTATCAAATGAAGCATTAATGAATGCATTAACAGCATCAATCTGAAAGATCTCCATTTCAAAATAAGCTGTTATAGTCATTAAAAGATGAAATATTCATGCAGTGAGAGTAGTGGTGTAGATATCATGTTTATTATTGATATCCAGATCTCTGTGAAAAATAAGCCTTGTCTTATAACATTTCAAAAAACTGTTAACATCAAATTTGTATGTATAAATTCACATTAAAGAGATTGAATGTATTTCTTCTGAGCTCTCTACTTCTTCAAAGCATTTCTCTGTTTGTAGCTTCTCCATTTCCACATTCATGGTGGTCTTAAAGCCACCAGTGTGCAGATGTTGCAACATTGAAAAATAATGCTTTGGAGACTTTGAAAGATTCTCTCTATGAAGTCTAGAATTTGTAATTGTAAAAGCTGTTAAATAGTCTCTATAAAAAGAATTCAATTGCACTGTTTGCTGCAGAATCACTATATAAGCTGTTCATCTGTCAATTTGATCTGTGTTTTGACATCTTATTCTAGCACTTCATCTAGAAGATTGCTTCACACTTGAGCTGGCACTGACTGAGTTATTCACCACTTCTGTGACAAAATGATTGGCTGTCAAAATTCTGTCATTAGTGCTCACCATCTCTGTGGCAGAATGATTGACTATTAATTGTTTGTCATTTGTGCTCACTGCCCCTGTAGAACTAGCAGCAGAAAGTGTAGTAGATGTTATAATCTCAGATGACTCAATTACAACATCACTCATCACTTCCATAGCTTCCATGGCAGAAGGATTGACTATCATTGAAAGTTGATTCAGCATCTCTATTTCAGTCAATGACATTGTTGAATCATCTGAAAGAGATTAAATGTAGATGTCTGAAGCTGACAGCTCTGATATTGACTCTAATGTTGACAATGCATATATCTCTTCTGATTGATCAGTTAATGTCTTAGTCATTGTTTCCATCAATCTTATTGACTGATTAGTGATTTTCTGACTTTTACATAATGTATTCTTCTCAGAATCTTCTTCTTTGCTGTCATGCTTGCTTAAGCTTATCTTGTTAATATCACTTACTTCAATGAAAGATATTGTATTCAACACAATGAAGCTCTTCTGTAATAAAAGCTCACTGCTAATCTTGTTAGAATCAAATAGCATATCTTCATTGAATATAACATCTCTCATTAATATAATCTTTCATCATACTGAAATTCAAATACAAAAAATATTTATTAATTCATATTCAATAAGATATTCAACTTTCACTCTAGAAGTCAGTTTCTGATTTCTTTCATATCATGCATTCTTAATTAAAGAATACACTCTACAGCCAAAAACTCTTATATGCCTAATTTCAGCTCAAGGAGTTGCAGTTTGAAGATATTTCTCTAAGAATTCAAGAGAAGTGTTTCAATCAAGATCTTTAACTGAAATTCTATTTAAAATATATGCTGCAGTTTTGACACATTCTGGTCACAAATTCTCAGATAAGTTGACTTCAATCTGCATTGTACATGCTGCCATCATTATTAAAGCTCCTGCATGTTCTGCAGCTCCATTTTGAGCTGATGTGTAGAGTGCTAAATGTTGAACAACTATATCATATGTTCAAGTCAATGCTGTCAGTTCTGACTGCATAGAGATCTCTTCATCAATTCAAATAGTCAAGATAGTCAATTGATATAAATTGAGAATTATTCTTATCATTTTTGCTGTGCACATCAAACTTTCAGATTTTCACTGCATCATTTCCACATAGTGCAGATGGATATAATCACAATATAAGTGAACTACCCATCTATCTTCATTATAATCTGAAGCAAACTGTATGAGATCAACAGACATCTTCATAAATAAATGTGTAGATCTTTTCAATGACATTCTGCATATAATTTACTTTGCTTTTAAAAGAGCACAAGATCTGCACTTCACTGTTAGAGAACTCTGAGAGATCTTTTTAAATCTCACATCAGTAGACATCTTTGAGAGATGTGCCAGAGACTCTCTGTCCAGATGATTAAGTCTCAGATGTCAAATATTCATGATTTTCAGTGAACTGAAGATCAACATCATGACCAGTTTATTAATTAAATCTTCATTTAACAAGGCAGTAAAAACACTTTTTGTTATACTGTCTGTTGCAATGTTAATAGATCTGTATTCAACAATCATTTTTCTCTCTTTAACAGTCAAATTGAACAAGATATCTCTTGTGCCAGTGTAGTAAATCATAAGAGACTTGTCATCCAAATAACAACTCTTCACACACAGCAATCTGTGTGCTACTAGATTTGTATGAAAGTCAGAAACATAGAGAATGTTCTTTAGTAATATCTTGTCAGCATCTGCTGATGTTTGGGTATAAACTTCAACATCACTGTATCTGTGAATTTTACAATGAGTATTTCCAACAAGCACAATATTCAAAGAACCAGCATTCTGGTAGTTTTAAAATTTTATAAAATCATTGCAAATATGTGCATCTGCACCCCCATCTAATATGAAGCTGTCCCATAATGAATAGGGTTCATATTTATCACTCATGTTAGTGAAGTTAAAAACTGTTATGAAAGTGAAGATAGTCAGATTAGAGAATGTCTTGGCAACAGCTTTGTTAGCATCACTGTCTGTCACATTGTCTGAAGCACTAACTTCTTCAGTAGTATTTGAATTCTTCAATTTCTTTCAATTTGCAATCTTTTTCTTTAATTTTCTTTTGTTCACTGGATTCTTCAATGCTTTCTTGACCTTATTATCAATTTTTGGATTCAGTTTCCAGCCTGTTGGTTGAACAAGTGGATTAAAATATGAGCAGTATGCCCAATTATGTTGCTCTCTGCAAAGACATGCAGAGTTTGTACTTTCATTATTCTTCTCTGATGACTTATTTTGAATAATTCTTTCAGTGGAATATGCTGATGGCTTATTACTTTGATCTGGCTCAGTATCTTTCTTTAACAACTGCTGAAATATCTAAATATGTCTATAAACATTCAGCTCATGTTCTCAATTCAAATTCTTCTTGATTAGAAGTTTAGATAGATATGTATAGAAAAACTCTCTATAATTTGAAGAGATAGCTCTCAGAAATTGTTTTGAGACAAAAAATTTGCAGATATATTCACATATATCATACATAATTGCTCAATTCAATGCTTCTTTATAGTTCAGTAAATATGCTTCAATTGCTTGATTCTTTGACTCTTCTTCAAGAGTTTTGAATTTCTCTACTAGTCTAGCTTTCAATTAAGAAGCATTCACTGCATTTCTAGCATATAGAGCTTTCAGATGTTCTTTTGCAGTAGCTTCTACATCACTCAATTCACTTATTGTAAGAATTCTCAGAGATGAATCTACACAGTTTTTTATTATCTTCTGTAGCTTTTGCATTGTTAAGATTCTCTTCTTTCAAGTTCTGTATCAATCTCTTTGCATATTTCTTGCATGTTTTGTATCTGCAGAAGTTGTGGTTTCTTCAGTTTTCTCAGAAGAAAGAAAATTCTCTATAATAGATTTTCAAAGTTTGAGATGTGTTTCTTTTGTCAGATCAACATACAGTCACAATCAGTGAAGATTTGCTAAATACTTAATGTTTTTGATCCATTCTTCTCAATTATCAGAACTATTCAGCATAACAACTCTTCTAGACAATTCATTCATTTTTAATTAATTATTGAAGTGAGACATTGATTCTAGATTATGGTTTTTCATAGACTTAGATCAGTAAATATATAGATGTGTTAGATCTCTGCAAACTCCATAATTAAGATTTAAGCTTAAATAGAGAGTTCAATGTATGATCTCAAGATACTTAATAGTGATCTCTATTTATATGAGTAACAAGAGTAAAATAAAGTATCTTGAACATATCTTTAGATAACAATCAAATTCTTGAAAGAGTCTGGGCTCATAACTATTGAACAACACAGAAGCATGTGATGATCATGTGACTGAGTGTCTATAATATTGCATCTGATCTTGCTCCTAATGAATGAGACACAGATACTTATAGACAAACATGCTATAATCAAGACTATGGGAAAAACATATGAAAAACCCCTAGCAAACCTCCACCAGCCTGATAGACAAAGATAATGAAATCAGTACCATGGTTGAGAAGAGGAGGTGGTGAACCTACAGTTCTCCAGTTCCTCCTTCAGAGACCTGGTCACCTGACAAGTCACCTGACTCCTGCTCAACACTAGATCCCTCTTCAATATGAGATCAGATGAATCAGGCACTTCTCTCCAGCTCATAGCTCGTAGCGTTACAGCCGTAACACTACCATCTTAGGCGTCCAAATCTGCCTGACGCTGTAATAATCTGGGACGTTTGAACTACAGACTACATGAAAACGCTACGACAACGCCGAGGAAGCTTCTGATGGTTATTCTAAGGCATCAATGGATCCATTTTCAATCCTTAGATTCTCGCAACAGCACCCCTGTATTTTGATCTCCAGGGCTGGTACGAGATTGTCTTCAGCTTGACGCAACGACTACCCGAGCATTCAATAACAACAATAACAACAGCAACTACCGCTCGTGGTCTAGTTGGTTATGGCATCCGGCTGTAAATGGAATATTGTAAACCGGGTTGTCGCTGGTTCGATTCCAGCCGAGCGGATATAATCTTTTATTGTAATCTATTCGGTTCCTCTGTTCATTTCCTATTTTTTCAATATTGTTGAATCGGTTCGGTATTCGCAATATGTGCCTTTTTACCATACAGACCAACGATCGTGTCCTGTCATATTTGAGATATTTATGGAGACTTAATTACGTAGGATAAAACACAAGTGGTTAGTTGATATGATAAAAGACAGCGGCAAAATATAACTAAATAACCCCACTATGCTGTGGATGTGTATGTTGTTACAAATATACACTACAAAAAAAACATTAGAAATCCAATAACTATGTGTTCCTAGCTTGGCAAAATCCGATAACGAAAGACCGGTCAGGCCAAAATCCCTTCCACACAACGCCATGTATAAAGAAAATAGTTGTGTCAAACATACTATTATGAAGGAGCAAGGCCAACCACCACGGCATCGGGGGTGAAATGAAAGCACATTATCAACGGTACCAAAAAACAAGAACAACCTAGAAACATATACAATATACAAACCCAGACGCCCGGGCCCGAGGTATAAGAAAACAAGACTGACCGCCGATGGAATAGAAGGCCGTGATTAAGTTAAATGTAGTTGAATAAAATGTAATAGGTTGGAAGAGCTGAAGTGAAGGTAAACAACGTAAAAATCTTTTAAAAGAGAAACAATGTATATAGAGTTGGCGCAATTGATATGTTGAAGATGTAGTTAATCAGCCACGGCATTTTACCACCTTTGCTTTAGGGTCTTGGCTGGTGCCTGGCCGCCGAGGATGTGGCAGAATGCCTTGAAGCCGAATGCCGGGACGTCGATCGTCGCGAGTGAGCGTTGCCAGAGGCATGCATGAACTCAGGAACTAGGTCTGGGTTCTGACTGGGGGGTACTTTACTCGCCGCAGAATATTCATTGATTACAGGATCGTCTTCCCGGGTTTCTGGGTGAACCTCAATACCTTCCTGCTGGCCAAGGGCATTAGGACCCGATCGCGAAAATCTGATGGAGTCATTTTCTCCCATGCCTCTTTCCACAGGTGACCAGCCAGCAATGCTTCCTGCGACAATACCAGCCATGGCAGCAGCAGGACCAAAAGCGGAGTTTGACCTAGATCTACCGCGGTTTCTCATGCGTGAATCTGGCGTGGATGGGAGACGGCCATTTAATTCATGATTGTTATCACCATGCGGGGTTTGCGGAACAGATTGGTCACGGGAACGAGAACCGCTTCGTGATCGTGGAAGTAACATTTCAGGATGTTGGAGCTTATACTTCAAATGGTTCAGCCTGCCACCACGAACAGCCTTGAGGAATTGCAGTTGATCACGAATTTCCTCCAAAGCAGGGTTCCATTCATACCGTCGGTCTTCATCAGAAACGAAGACTTGAGGGCTGCGAGTCTTCCGATTCCAGAAGCGCGGCAGGAGATTCCGAATGAATTCATCAGGTATTAATCTGATGATAATTGCAACTGGAATTGAGACGAGACCTAGTATCAAAGAAATGCCCCATTCTGGGCCGTCCAGAGGGACAACCGAAAAAGCGCGCCCGCCCACAAAGATGATCAATATTTGACCTCCAGTAATGACGATTTGAATTGCTAGAAACCACTTATTTCGCCAGAGGCCTTCAAATATATTCATATTATTATCAATTCTTCGAGCACTACAGGGATATAGATATCAGTATTTTGCGAATATGGAAAATCTACATCTGGATTCCTTACTTATATTGGTTGAAAATCTGCATCCAGACAAATGTGTTGAAGATAAGGGCGCGAAACTGCTTGTCCTCTTCTTCAGAGTAGTCATAGCCGAGGATATTCTTGCCAGCAAAGTTGAGAATAAAAGTTACAACCAACTGGTAAATGGACTGTCCTATTATCATTTTCCACATTGTTAATGTGATAAGTGGAGATGATCTAGGCTCTGGTTTGCGATCCAATATTGTTGTAGGAGGTGGGTCCGTTGCTGATAACATGATCAGCGTTCAAGCAAGATGGAATTTGTGATAGAACTCACCAAGAGCCAAGGCCGCAAACGTATCCATAATTAGGTTGACCCAGAGTAGCTGAACAGCAGTAAGAACAGATCTTTCTTCATCACTAGCAACAGCAGAAATAAAAGTCAGGAAAACAGCTGTGATATTGACTGTTATTTGAAACTAAAGGTAGTATATTAGCCGTAGGGCAGCACGTTTGAATTGGACATTTTCTCACCTGCAGAAATTTTTTGACAGCATCGTTGACAGTTCTACCCCATGCCATAGCTTTCACAATGGAATTGAAGTTATCATCCATCAAAATAATAGCTGATGCCTCCTTTGCAACTTCTGTGCCAGTGATTCCCATCGAAAATCCCACATCAGCCCCTTTCAAGGCAGGTGCGTCATTGGTTCCATCTCCAGTAACCGCTACTGTTTCGCCGAGTTTTTGAAGCTGAGATACTAAAATTCGTTTGTCTTCCGGGCTGGATCGTGCCAGAACTTGCAGCCTCGGGATTATCTGATTCATTTGATATGGGGTTAGTTTTCGAAATTTGGGGCCTTCCATGGCAATTCCACCTGCAGTGAAAATTCCACATGACTGAGAAATCGCTTTGGCGGTCATTAGATTATCACCGGTTACCATTCTCACGAAAACACCGGCTTTCTGGCATTGTCGGACGGAATTAGCTACGCCCGGACGAAGAGGATCCTGGATACCAACGACCCCTAGAAAGGTCAGGTCCTTGAAAATAGAATCAAAAACGGCAAGTCGACGGTCCTCTTCTTGAGTCACAGCTCCACGAGGAGGCCACTGCTCATAATCCTGATAGAGTAACCCAATTGTACGAAGTGACTGGGATGCGTAATGCGACACGATGTTGTTGAGCATCGACCGATACTTGTCAGTTAGAAGTGTGTCGTACAAGTCTGCAGTAGGATCCTTGAGAATTTTTGTAGATTTGCTTATTAAAATCTCGGATGCACCTTTGACAAGTAATCTATACTTCCCGTTTGGTAACTTGATGACGGTTGCCATGCATTTCCGACTGGAATCGAATGGTACAAGTTGGACAACTTCAGCATTGGATCTTTCCTCATTTAAAGGCCGTAAGGCCAGATGATCACGGGCGAAGCTGAGTAAGGCGGTTTCTGTTTTAGATCCAATAAAGACGGCTTGTCCGTTATCTTCCCCTTCAAAAGCGGTGGAATTGAGAGCTATAATCTGTCTTAGGGCATCCTGGACATTCGAGGACAAGGTACTGATACATTCAGTTGGGGAAATCTCTGTTGCATTTGAAAGGTATTGGTTATGTTGGTCATTCTCAGCGTTGTCACCAAACCGTGACGCTGGGCCAAAAGTGCCAGCGACAACAGTCATTTTATTTTGTGTAAGTGTACCAGTCTTATCTGAACAAATAGTTGTCGCGTTGCCCATGGTCTCGCAGGCTCTCAGTAACCTCACCAGGTTGTTATCTTTCAACATTCGAGTAGTTGCGAATGCAAGCGCAAGGGTAACAGCCAGAGGAAGTCCCTCGGGCACGGCAACAACAATGACGGTTACTGCGACGATAAATATTCGCAGAAACGCCTGGCCTTTCTCAGTAGAGCCACCTGGGATATCCCCAATATGAACGAGGAACTTAATGAATAGAACGACAAACAGTAGTAATCCAGCAGCAAGACCCAGCTTAGCAATGTATTCCGCCAATATATTAAGTTTTGACTGCAGTGGAGTTGTCTGGCCCTCTTCCTGCAATGACAGGAGAGTTTTTCCGTGAGATGAATTAATTCCGGTGGCCGTAACGAGAAATACTCCCACACCTTCAGCAACTTTAGAACCTGAGAGAATAAAAGGGTCCAACTTATTAAGCGGTTCATGGCTCTTAATTGCACGAAATACTTCGTCTCCAGGACTCTTGCGTAAAAGGTTTGATTCACCAGTGGCAGAGGATTCATCACATTTCACGTTATGGCCGCCGATAAAAACACCATCCACAGGCACCATATCCCCGGGTTCTAAGTGCATGACATCACCTGCCAATACATCATAAACGGATATCTCGATAGATTTCCCGGAGCGAATGACCTTGACGCTCCTGTCCTCTTTTTTCTTATTGAGTTTTACGAATTGCTGCTCCTTCTTCCAATCGTTCAATGCGCCAACTACAACGACGACAAGGATCGCAACCATTATTGCAACTCCTTCGACCCACTGAACTCTTGGTTCACCCGGTTTAGCACTCACAGCTTCGTAGATACCTAAAGCAAGAGAGATGACGGCAGCAACAGAGAGCAGAATTAAGACCTTATCATTGTAAGCGATCCAAGCAAGTTCCCAAATCGACTTTGTCTTTCTGGCGGGCAATCGGTTGTCGCTAAAGACATGCTTTCTATCAAAGAAGGCATCGTTGTTCTTGTTGATGATCTCGGTAGGCATTGCGTCTACCCTAGGGGGCGGTGGGGAAGGTGTTGGGCGGGTTTTAGAGGAAGAGGGTTGGCGAGTTGCATCTTCAAAACTCACTGTGCCATCCAGCACGCTTTCATCCATGCTAAGACCAACATTTCTGTCGGTTCTCAACCCTTTCTCGATTCCAGCAAGTCCTCCAAGGGCGAAGAATGCTGCTAAACTCTTGGGGTTTAACATCTTGTTCAGCTGTCCCGGTGAAAAAGCGAACTTATTGTTTTGTACCTCAAAATCAGCTTCGGTGCCGGGGTCTGGTGACAGAGCATCTGGAGCGTTGGTAATATCATCTACTTCAGGGGACGCCCTCTGGGTTGGGGTATCTGTGGCCGAAGTAGATGAGGGAGCAACAGTATCTCCACCATATAAGCTTGATGAATTAATGGCATCTTCAGAGTCCAGAGAGTTCCCTCTGGATCGGGTCCCAGGAACAGCTAGAAAATTCGAGCTGCTAGTTTCAACCCATTTCGAGGTCGGCGACGATACATTATGCGGAGAGGTCGGTCTACTCTCACGAAACTCTTTTCCTTCGAAGGAAGGGCTAGAGCGTACTTCTGTTGGCGAAGTGGATGCTTGTGGCCTCTGGTTCGAGTGTGGGATTTCATTTGGAGGGACTCCTCTCATCTCCTGGTCGCCGGAATCTTGCGAGGTATTAACAGCGGAAGTGTCGATGGTGATCGTAGGAGCGCGTTCGCGTCTTAGAGGGCTGGAATGGTAAGGGGAATCCGAATTGGGTTGATTAGACATGATCGCGACCGCTGCTCTAGCTCCGGTAAAGAACCTGCCGAGACTGAAGTGGGAAGATGCGACGATAAATCAGTTTTGAAAAGCCTGGCCCAACTACAGTCTACCAAACGCAAGTATATTAACCGGTCGGAGCAGGGTGTAACATGGCCAAATAGACAATGGTGTTGCGTAAAATCACAGCGTAACAAGCAAGGAACCAGTCACTGTTTAGAAGACAAACATTAGCTACTAATTGCGGCTGGTACAATGAGAGAAATATACCTCGATATTACTCCATGCACTATTTAGCTCGGCCCAAAAGAAAAGAGTTGAAAGAGCCCTGGAGGATGTGAAGGTCGGTCTACTGGGAAGGCGTCGCTTGAACAAAGGAGCCGTTGGTGAATCGACCTTCAAAACACCTTTTTCAGGCTACTCGTAAAACCAAAAAATGGCACATCGGAGTACTCGGCAAATAAAAGGAGGCGGTCCAGACGAGTTAATGGAGAGTAGTGAGGGCCCGGCCGTGGATCAGACGAATGGTGAAAGGCGGCCCAAGAAAGTTCAGGGACGCGTGCTTGTCGCGAAGAAGGCCCAAGAGAGAAAGGCTTCTACATCAACTTTGGCTGAGAGATTGGATACAAAGGAAAAAGGAGACCTAATCATTCCGGTATCCAGTGGACAATATTTCGCCGGAAAGGTGCGCGATGCATAACATACATAATTCCTCACCAAACACCCAATCTCACCCAATGACCGCTTCTTGCAAAATTACTACTACACTTTCAAAATATGATTATTCAACAAACCTAGCAAAATTAATTAAGCTTTTAGTTACACCAAGTAGAAAAGAAGTAGAACATAAAAATTAGTATGATTAATTCAAAAATTGACAGATTGATCTAATAGCTCAATATTTACATATACTTGACATTTCTGACTTATTGAGCTTCAAAGCCATTGGAAAATCTTATTTTAATGTTTAAGAGCTTAATTATAAATTTAGCTTTTCTAAAGATTTTTTAAAAATTATAAACTCTATAGAATATATGAATAAAATGAAAGTTTATAATATTAGACTTTTTTAAGAGATTTTCTATACAATTTTTTTTTTAAATTTTTTTATATTGTAAAGTTTATTGTTTCTACTGTCTATTGTATGTTTTTTTTATTATTTTTTTATTTAATTTATGTGAGAATTGGGGTTGCAGATAGTGTAGCAATGATTTACCAGTCTTTGTAAGTGAGATTGAATTGAGTGGGAAGTGATTATGAAGAGATCTAAGTATGAGAGAGAGAAAGAAAATTTATATTGCTACAATAGTATCTAGAATCTCTAAATATGTTGTCACTGATCTTTACAAAGAAGTGTTTGTGACAGATTTTATATATTTAGCTCTGCTAGTGAACTTATATAATCAGTCATGAAGTTTACAAATTTTAAATAACATGAAGCATAATCATCTAAGAATTAAAATGCTTTTATAAATCTCTTTAAGATGATGAAATAAATGTAAGATGATTACAGTATGAAGTCTTACAGATTTTCTTTTCTTTACAAGTCTTGATTTTCAAGATGTAGATATAATATCAAGATCATAATAAGAGATACTGCTTTTCTGTAATTGCTTATTTCAAAATCTTTCTTTTGAAATAAAAAATGTAAGATGATCATGACATGAAGTCTCAATTTCTCTTCAAAAACTTTAGTTTCTAGATGTGAACATAATAGTAGAATCACAGTAAGAATGACTGCTCTTGTGTGATTGTAATGATTCGTATAGTGAACTGTCATTTTCTGTAATTTATCTAGTCAGTAGTAACACTTAACAAATTTAAAAATATAAATATTTCTTTCTTAATCTTTATTATTATTATTATTATTATTATTATTATTATTTATTATAGTCTTGTGCAGTCTGAGACTATGAAGACCATCTGCAAGCTGTCTTGCAGAATTTAACTAAGTTACAAAATCATTGATCAAATACATGATCATAGACAAATTAACAAATGAAAAACATACAAGAGTGTCAGAGCAGTGATTTATGTCTTTTCTTCACAGAAATTTAAAAATAAATAATGAGATTGTAAGTGAGATCTTTAAAAATACTCATTTTGTTTCATTCAGAAGTCATCTTCTGATGACTATTTCAGTTTGTTTGAGAAACTTTTCCATTCATTTCAAACTTAATTCAGTGTTAAATAGAAACTTAAGTGACAGTTGTGAAATTTTAAACTCTTTCAAACACTGTTGTCTATCATCTTTTAGACTTAAACAATTCATGAGCAAATGTTTTAATGTTTCTTTGCAGTCACAGTGTCTGCAGATTTCTCTATCATGATTTGATAGTTTTATTAAGTAAGAATTAAAGTAATCATGACTTAATTTTAACTGAATAATTGTTGACCAAATCTGTTTGGGAAATAAAAGTAAATAAGTTTTTCACTTTAATTTTAAATTGAATTGAGAATAGTGATTTACATCACTTTCATTTTTAAATACATATTTTAATTATTCAAGCATTGTCATTTCTTTAATTTATCTCTTAATGTAAGTAAAGAAGACATATCTTTCAGCACAATCTTATTTTAATTCAGTTGCTTTCTTTGCAGCAATATCAACTTCTTCATTGTCAAAAATGCTCATATGAGCTGAAATTCAGTGAAGATGACACTTAATGTCTTTAGACTCAAGTTGTTTAGCAATTTTTCTAATTGATTCAATGTAGAACAGTTCAGCTTTTATATTCTGTGCATTGAGTCTCTGAATGATAGCTTTACTGTCAGAAAACATTCATAGTTCTGAAAAGATTTTTGAATTTGAAAGAGTCAAAGCATTGAAGAAAGTCTTTTCAATTGCAAAGAGTTCAGCATCAAACACTTTCATATATTTACTCAATTTTCAAGAAAATCTTTAATTTATTCCTGAAATATAAAGATCTGCATCAGTAGTCAGATTTTCTGACTGTGAACCATGTGAATACATGATCAAGAAGTTTTTTAAATTGAGAAGAAGTTGTTGATGATTTTTCTTTATAAATATTCTCTCTGCTGAATCAATTTAAATGTCAATGATTTCATTCAAACTTCAAGATTTATTTTATTCTTAATTTACTGTTTCAATCTTCAAAAAAGAAATCTGATCTGAGATCATAGAACAAAGTTTGAATAAGTGACTTAAATATTTTTTTATTCTTTTTGTTCTTTTTCTCTTTCTTTTTTCTGATGTTTGTTCAACATGATCAAGAGTTCACTCATTTTGATTTCAGTTCAGAAACTTTCTTCAGTTCAACTCAATTTCATTTAAATGTGAAGAAAAATTTAAAGACACTCTTGTTCTGATTGCATGTTTTTCTGACAATTTCAACAATCTGAAAGCATAATTTCTGCACAGCTTATTGAATTTCACTTTGAGTGGAGAAATAGCAGCTTCAATTTTTATAGCATAGATTGAAGAAGTTCTGAAAATCTCTGAAATCTTTCTTAAAGATGAATTCTGAAGTCTTTCAAACTTATGAAGTAGACTCTTTTGACCATTCCATCAAACTGAAACTTCAAAATCAGCAACAGAAGTGATGTAAGTCATGTAGAGTTCATGTAGAGTTGTTTCATTGCTTGAAAAGTAAGATCTTTTTCTGTATTTAAAAGTCTTATTATCTGATTCAAGACTCTTTCAGCTGATGCAATTTTGATTTTCACATGTCTTTTGAAAGTGAGTTGATTGTCAAATCAGATTCCCAATCATCTCACTAGATCTTTTGATTTAAAAGTCAGATCATTCAATGAAACTGAATCTGATTCAGAATAATCTTTGATGAAGTGAATCAGCTCAGTTTTGTTCATATTAAATTGAATAACATGAGAAGTTTGTCTTTCAGACATTATACTGATTGCTTTATTCAACAGCTCACAGTTCTTCTCAACTGATTCAGAAGAAATAATTAAATCAGTGTCATCAATATAACTTAAAATTTTTACATCTTTCAGTTCTTTCAAATTCTCAAAAAGATATCTTGTGTAAATTCAGAAAAGAACTGATGAGAGTGATGAGTCTCATGACACATCAATGTTGATTGAAACTGATGTTAACTGTTTTTATTCATCAAAAATCAATTGAATCTTTTTGATTCTCATGAAAGATTCAATCCATCTGACAAGATTCTTGAGCAACTTTAAATTCAAACAAATCTTCATCAATCTATTCACTGACACAAAATCAAATACTTCTTTAATATCAATGAAAAGAGCTGAAGTCATCAATTTCTTAGCTTTGACAAGTTGAATGTCATGAGTGAGACTTAAAGCAGCATCAATTGCAGAAGACTGTTTCTTTTCATTAAACTGATCAAAGTACAAGAGATCAGTAGTAGTTGCTCAGAAACTGAGTTTAGTGACTATCACTCTTTTCATCACTTTGCCCAAACAATTCAGAAGTGAAATGATTCTGTAAGACTTGAGAATAGAATCATTTCTGTTTGATTTCTTCAGAATGACTTTGACTTCGGTAGCTTGTCTTCAGACATCAAAATGATAGTTCTTCTCAAACAGACTCTTGTAGAGTTGAAACAATCTATCTTTAAGAACTGAATAAATGTTCTGTAAGATCAGAAAAGAAATTTCACCTGAATCAGATGCACTGACTTTTAAATCACTGAAAACTAATCTTTTGATTTCAATCTCAGTGATTTGCTGTCATTTCCACTTCTCACTCTTATGATATTCAGATCAATTGATTGATGAATATTTAGATGATTTTCTGAAAAAAGTACTGATGAAAGCTTTGCATTTCTCATTAAATGTGACTGTATATTTTGATTCATGATCTGAGTCAACATAGTTGAGAATTGGAGTTTTTTCCACTTTCAAGTTCTTTGTGTACTTATATGCTTTGAAGATTTCTTTTTCTTCAGCTTTTTCAAGAAAGTTATTCCAACATTCAGCTTTAACTTATTTCACAGCAGAAAAATATTCAGTTCTTTGAGTCTGATAATCTTCATAGCTGATTAAGTCTTTTTTAAAGT